TCTTAAAAATAAGGAGCGAATTTCTGGAAAAGTAGAGATACTTTTAAATATTATATATAAAGTACCATAAACATAAATAACAAATTTGAATAATAAACGCAGCCTAATATCATATTTGTCTACAATAATATATTGATTTTCTAAAAAAACGTATATTTGCTCAGATCTCGCTTCTTTACTTATATTTAATAAAATAATACTGTAATTATTAAAATAGTATTAAAATTTTAAAAGAAATATGCATATAAGACTAAATAAAAAATATGTATTTGAAATATATATTCTTTTCCCATCGTAATCTTTATATTTATTATGTATGGAATTTGCAAATGGAGTAATAATGATAACACGTATATATGTAATGTCATTAGATTTAATTTTAATGATAAAATTCTATGTTTTTATCTCGTTAGAGCGTAAACTGTGTGATTAATTAGACATGTTTTGCACAGACTGCATTTCTTATCATTGCATACATATTTTTGTTTTGTTATTTGAAGTGAAACCATCATTAGAAGCGTACAGCTTATATAATCGTTTTTTAACATATACTTTATATTATAAACGTTGCATCTTTATAAATTTTAACTTATATTTGGATATAAATCATAGAACTTTATACATAACATATTTTAATAAATAATTGAGGCGTAATTTCTTGATTTTAATTCGTTTATATAGTTATGGTTCTGTAATTTATATAAAGTATAATCATTTATTGACTAGAATTTGTAATATATATATTTAGCAGTCATATACATGTATATCATGGTATAGACTTATATTCTATAAATTAGATTTTATGCATTTATTCATATTATGTATCTATTATTTTCTGTTATGTGTGTTTTGTGTATATGTATATATGTATCTTTGTAATGAAATAATTAATGTAAGATTCATTAATCGTTTAAAATTATATTATTTATTTACAACAACATAACGCAAAAATTGCCATGTTTTAATTACTTACAGAAAAAGTTCAGAAACATAAATAAAAAAAGAAGAAAATATTTTTATTCCTTTAATCAATTACTGCATTAAAATTAACATTTCAAAATTAATATTACAAAATTTTAATAATTTAAAACTCATTTTCGAAAAAATGTTGTTATAACAAATAAGTGATATATGTTAATAATAAATCAAAAATAGATGTTGCATTGGTCTTCTATTTGTAGCAATATCCATTACGTACAATATCTATACAGTCTTCAATAATTGATAAAGTTATATAATATATGAAATTTATGAAGCAGTGTCTGCCATCTCAATTAACTATAAATATTTAATTCTACTTGTGATAATAGTATGTATATTATGTGTATAAGCTTGTGTGTGTAATTTAAATTTATAATTTCTTACCTAATTTTCTTAAAATATAATTAGAGATCTTCTAAAACCTATTTATAAATTTCTACATTCACATTTATAAATTCGCATAACTAAATATACATTAAGTTTCTCTATTATCTTATGCTGTTTATAAATAGTTTTAAATAAATTATTATATAATATATCACATATTATATATATATATATATATATATATATATATATAACAATACCAAAGTATTAGAATGAAGCATTCGATACATGTAGCAAGTTTTCCTCGAAGACATAAAGTATATGATATGAAGTAAGGTAATTCGAGGGAAGACGCCACAAGGAGGAAGACACTATTCTTTGTTTATAATTTTTTTATAATACATGCATTGGCTATATTGACTGTGCAAAAGCGTATGGTAAACAGTTGCGCAGTTATCGGCAGAGATGAACATATTCATGCCAAAGTCGATTGGTAAAGATTATACGAAATACGAAAAGGTAGGTCGTGAAATATGCTCTTTGTAATATTTGGTATGCTAATAGCTAAGGTCTGTATTTCGATGCTTACTGTAAAACCGCGCAAATGATATACGGTTTTAATCAGTGTTCCCTGGAAGTCATGTGAATGATATAGATTATATTTTATAATATTCTTATATGCGTAATAGTTGTAATTGAATATTCCTCTTACACTTCGGGATAGATGACAGTAAATATAAAACACAATTTTTCCTGCTTGAAATCGTCATTAAAACAATTTAATGAATTAAAATTTTGGATGCTTTATATAATTCGAAATATTTTAAGTTAATGAAATGCTGTTTAAACGAATAAAAGTATGTCTAACTTACTTCATAAATTACTCTCTTTCATATTTCGTCAATTTATGTTTTATCATACCTTTATGTGTTCTTATCGCTTAAACCCTTGATTATGGATTATAAATAAGTAAAATATGCAAGTTTATATTGCATCATATTTTTTAATTGTTTGTGACATCTTTTCCCATAGGAGGTGGCATCTTACCCATATATATAGGAAGAAGATGTCACTTTTGCAGGGTATGACATATCAATTTTTTTTAATAATACAGAACATCGAAAATTTAATTCATTGATTTGTATGAATAAAGAAAGGTTGCTAGAATATAAATAATATTTTTTCGTTCAATATTAATTCAATAACAGAAGATTAAGAAGATATTCAAGAATAAAGGCTTAAGTGTGGCGTCTTCCCCCCAATGACCTTACGTGTGCATTTTTGTATTTACTTTAGTTCCATAAATAATACGGAAAGAGAGTGTAAGTATACATATAGTAACACATTAAGTAGAGATATTTTTAATTGTTATTTATCGTATATAAATATCACGAATAAATACGTATACAAATATCATAAATGATAACAACGAGAATTTGATATTGATCACAGATTAAGTGTCAGTCGTATATGTTTTTTATTAGATTAATCACTAACTATAATACTACTCATAAATTTTCTATTTTTATTTTTATTTCCAAATTATTATATGCTTATTAGCAGGGTTGGGTAGTGCTAATAGTTCAAAACAATAAGAATCTTATTTTAGACCGTACATGTAAGAACACAATGAATACGAACTAGAAATTAAAGTACGGAATACAAGAGATCTGGGTTCGACTCCCGGCCGAGGTAATATTTTTCGCAATAAATTTATTTACAATTTTTTAGCACATTACCATCTATTTAATAATTTTTAACACATTACCATCTTTTTAATATGATGCCTGATTGAGCATCAAAGTATTAAAAATTGCTTATTAATTTAATTTAATTTGTGATATTATTACAGTAGTTTAATTCACATTGAATTATTTAAGTCTTAAGTATTAAAAGATCCAGCTTCGACCGTTATAGGCATTTAATTTCTAATTCGTATTGAAGAGTTAAAAAGTTAAAAGTTAAGTTAAAAAGTTAAAAAATTAATTAATTTTAACTTAACTTGATTATATTTTAGACTTTTAATTTTTTAATTTAATTACATTTCGTTCGTCTATCTATTAACTTTTAATTTGACTTTTTTAAAGTTAAACTCATACACAATGCAAGAAAATAATAAATATATAATTTAATAATTTTATGTCGCTTATATTGTGTAATCGTCAGTTGTAAACAAAAATAATCAGTAATTCTTTAATAAATATACTGTGAGAAAAAAAAGAAAAATACAAAAAATTATGTAAAACAATTAAATTTTTTTTTCTTTTTTTGGGGATTGTTCGTTTGGACCAAATTTAATTTTAAACTTTTTAATTACTTTTTTTTATTAACTTAATTTTTATAATTCTATTAATTTCATTATGGATTAACTTGTATCTTAACTAAGTTAAATTTTCAAAACTGTGTTAACTTTAACTTAACTTAATTTTAAAAAAAGTTAATTTACCCAATCTTGCTTATTAGGAGAATTCGCTACATGTTTCGAGTTTATTTCTTCACAAGTTCACTTACATTTTTATATAAATATACATGCATAAGAATAAAACTTAAAATTATAACTCTCGAAAATATCAAATAACATAAACATTAATGGGCTAATGAGAGTCACAGCTGCGGTAGTTCATGCGAGAAAGAAACAATTTTTATTATGTATAATACTTATTAATTCTAGACGTTTCGGCTCCAATTCGGGCCATCCTCAGTAATTCGAATCGATAT